CTGCTCTTTCCAAAGGTTATCGATGTTATGACCCTATTGGTCACCGTTTTTAACATTCTTTAGATGTTACTTTTTGTGAGACTCTTCCTTTCTTTCATTCTAATCCTCTTATGCAAGCTGTTACTTCTAATCTGGTTGGCGACATGTCTTCTTCAACTCATCATGTTGCCATTATTGACTTCGCTACTCCATGTACTCCGTCTGGTTTGTCATCTCCCAGGTCTTCCCCTCCTGTTGCTCACTCTCTTCAGACTTACTCTCGCCGTCCACGTGCTTCATACCCTCCAACTTCCCCTTCGGCTTCAAGTTCAGGTACTGCTTCTCACTTTTCACTTCATCTCTTTCTCATCCTTCACCACACCATTATCCCTCTCGTATTCTTTTTCCTCCTGCTTGCTATGGCTTTCCTAGCAGTACTAATCATCCCATTTCCAAGTCTTTTTTATGTTGGTCTTTCAGATTCTTATTGTGCTATCCATAGGAAACTTGACTCTCCCTATTCCTCACTCAGTCTTTGAGGCTCTTCAGAATCAGAATCCCCATTGGATTCAGGATGCATACAAAAATGGTGGCCTTGGAACAAAATGAGGCTTGGACTCGAGTCCTTACCTTCTTCTGCCACAACTGTGAGCTGCAAGTGGGTGTTTAGTATGAAATATCATCCAAATGGGTTGGTTGATCACTACAAGGCTAGCCTTGTTGCCCAAGGATTTACAGAGATTCCTAGTCAGGACTTTGGCGCCATTTTTGTTCCTGTTGCCAAATTGACATATGTTCGCCTTCTTGTTTATTTGGCTGTAGACCATTATTGGTATCTTCATCAGTTGGATATCAAGAATGCTTTTTCTTCATAGTGACTTGCTAAAGACAATTTACATGGATCCTCCACCGATTTTCGGGTTGAAAGGGAATTTGTGGAGAAAGTGTCATTTGCACAAGTCTCTTTATGGCCTCAAGCAATCTCCTCATGCTTACTTCAGCCACTTCAGCCATGTTATCCTGTCCATAGACTTTGTTCAGTGTCACTCTGATCATACGTGTTTCATTTGTCGTCGTCCCAATGGTTGCTGCACCATTTTGTTGGTGTATGTGGATGATATCATTCTTACTTGGGATAATGCTGATGGCATTGCTCAAGTGAAGCAAGAACTTGGGAGAACATTTGACATCAAGGATCTAGGTCATCTAAAATACTTTCTGGGTATTGACGTTGGTCAGTCACGTAGAGGGATCTCTCTGTCTCAGCAAAAGTACACTTTGGATCTTCTTCAAGATACTGGCATGCTTGGGTGTAAACCTGCCTCTACACCTATGGATCTAAATCTTAAGCTCTCTGCTAAGTTTGGGGAGCTTATTCCTAATCCAACTATGTATGAGCACTTGGTAGGTCGCCTGATATACTTGACAAATACGACCAAATTTAGCATTTGCTACGAGTGTAGTTAGCCAATTTATGCATACATCACACACAGCTCATCTTGATGCGGTCTACCCTATTCTAAGATATCTCATGTCATGTCCAGGTTTAGGGTTATTCTTCTCAACTAGTACCCAAACTAGACTCTTGTTTCACAAATGTAGATTATGCTAGATCAAAGACTGATAGATGCTCAACTTCAGGTTTATGTACTTTCTACGATAACCATTTGTTATAGTGGAAGAGTAAGAAACAGGTTATGGTCTCACACTCTTCAGGTGAGGCTGGAGGCTGAGTATCAAGCTATGGCTCAGCGTAAATGTGACCTTCTATGGTTGTGGTCAATTCTTTCTGAATTAGGATTTGTGGAAACCATTTCTTCTCAGTTATATTGTGACAAGAAGTCTGGTATCATGCTTTCTTTGGATCTAGTTCTTCATGAGTGGACCAAACATATTGAGGTTGTTCATTTCATTCGAGGAAAAGTTCGAGTAGGTCATGTTACTCCATTTATTTCTTCCTTTGAACAGACTGCATACATGTTTACTAAGTCAATGGGACCCTCTTTGCTTCAATCATTTATTGTCAAGCTGGGTTTGGTTGATATCTTTGAATCAGCTTGAGGGGGAGTATTGAAATATTTTATTTATAGTGTAGGTTGGAATAGAATCCGTGATTTCATAGTCACAGATTTCTTGCCTCTTACTTTGTGATTGATTGATTCTATTCCCTATTCTGTAAACACTGTTTTAGTATATATACACATGGTCTGGTCTCACCTCATTATAGGCAAGCCATTTTACACAATTCTTCTCATTTTACCTCTAAAAATATTAATTAGACCCCTGAATATATAAAAATATTAAATTTAAATATCTAATAATATTTTTCATTGTTCAATAGTGTTTCCTACATCTCAGAAGACAATTTTCTCAAAACACGTGGTCTACTATATTTTTACCCACACGGTTTTCAACCTACTACTAGCTGATGAATCTTATTGAAATTAGTTTGGGAGGTAAGCTAGCTACAATTGGAGAGAGAGAGAGAGAGTAGCTTAGAATTTTAGGCTTCATTAATTTTCCTAGGGCATACTCAAGGTATTTGAGACCTTAAGCAACAATTTTAAATGAGATATATTTTTTAAATAATTTTATTTTTGTAGAGTTTATTGTTTAAATTTTATTTTTGCCGCTTTTTAAAATGAAAATTATTATGAAATATTTTTTAAAAAAATTATACAATTGTCAAATCGAGATTCAAATTGTGAATCGAAATGACCTCGTACTGAATCGTGAATCGTAAAGATTTGGTCACTTTTTCTAAATTACTTAGAAAAAATATATTTACACACTTGGATGTTAAATATATTTTATGAATATAAAATATTTAGACTTAAATCGATGAAAATGTTGTTTTGAATGATGATCACATAGTTTAATAGGTAACAAGTTGACAAATGTTCCTATGTGACATCACAATCTTACCTTTTCCCTTTTTAGATATTTCTTATCAACCATTCTTAATAAAAGACAGTAACTAAAGACAAACTTTAAATTTTCAAAATAACAATAATTTGACAACCATATTGATATTTAGACAATAAGCATACATACTTGTCTAAGTAACAATGACCAAATAATAGGAAAGAATTATTTAGAATCTTTTATTTTAAAGCATAAAACATATTAAAAGATATAACTGGCCTCACTAAGTAATATTCATCTATATTTAATTTAATAAAATATCAATAAATAATTCATAGTGTAAGTTACTTTAATTTTAAACATCTTTAGAAGATACGACCTTTTTTATTAAAAAAAAATGAGAAGAAAGGTTAAAAACATGTTGACTCTGATTAAATCTGATAGGATCCTATTAAAAACTCCATGATCACTAAAATAATAATGAATCATATATATATTTTAGTTATTTTGGCATTAACCGATATTAAAAGTTGTATTATGTCATTTTTATTAAAAAGATGGAGAAAAAAAGAGTTGAAAATATATCGGACACGATAGTTTCAAGAATTGCATGAATTGTAAAAAGTGAATCAAATCGTAAATCGATTGTAAATCGTGCGATTCACTAGAGATTCACTTTCAAATAGATTCATCCATAGATTCATATCGATTTTGCAAAAATTGCGAATTGAATCTTGAATTGTAAGATTCTGATAACATTTCAATGGCCTAATTGATATTTTGGGATAGTTTGGGGATAAAATGAAATTTCAAATAAAGTTTCAATGCCAACATCAGCAACTTCCGTTAGATCAAGGATGACACCCTATGAAGCACGGACACGGGACGCGTGACACGTGACACGGCAATTTCAAAAAAATGGGGATACAGACATGGCGGAGGACACGGCTATTATTATTTTTTTAAATATATGTTACGTATTTGCCATGTAGATTAATTTTATATTACCAAACAATCAAAATTAATAAAAACTAAAACTAATATTAATTTAATGTGTATATAAAGACCATTACATTTAAACATTATAAATATATGTTCTATATATTGTAAACATTATATAAAGAAAAAATTAAATTAAAATATACAATATATATATATAAATATCTAATCATAAAATAAATAAAAAATAGAGAAGAATGAGAACAAAGAGAAGAGATATAATATATATATATATATATATAAATTAAAATATAATATATATATATGAAAAGAGAAATGAGATAGAAGAAAGAAAAGACAGAGAGAAGAGAGAGGCAAGAGGTGAAATGAGAGAAGAGAGCAGAGAGACGAGATAGAGAGAGAGAAAAAGACTGAGAGATAGAGAAACTGAGAGCGGCAAAGACGAAGAAGACGATCGGAGACCAACCACTGACGACCGACGACTCACCAGCGAAGAGCTTCTAGGTATGCCCGACGAGCATCTCTCTCTCTCTCGCTCTCTTCTGTTTTGGGTTCGATTCGTGTCCCGATATGGACACACGTGTCCTGGCCGTGTCCCCACTATGTCCCCTACAAAAAAATCATTAAATTAAAGGGACACGCCGTACGTGTCCCGGGCATGTTCGCATGTCGAACACCGCCACGGCGTGGATTTTGGAGTGTCCATGTTTCATAGATGACAGCTAATGGCGAGGCAAAATTAATCCAAAACATTTTCCTAAAATATTTTAGACGAAAGTTTCCCCCACTGTAGTTGTCATCTAAACTAATCCAAAACATTTACTACAAACAACTTTTCCACCTTTCCTTAATCTCATAGTCTTTCGATAACACCATCAAATCTTTACTTTTTATACCCTCAACCTAATTTAATGTCTCTTGTTTTCCTTTCTCTTAATTTTTAGCAAGTTTGCTAATATTCCTTTCTCCATCTTTACAATCTAATCTAATTATCCTTTCAACTTCATTATTAGCCAAATTGTATATTTTAAAATTTGTCATTTTTATCCTTTTGCAACTTTTTAAAACATTCTTTTTTTAATTTACTTACTACAGTTTCTAAGTCATTATTCCACCACCAAGTATCTTCAGATATGGAGCATTTAAAAAAAAAAAAAAAACACGAACAATTGATAAATATTAAAAAACATACTGACCAATGCTGTAAGAGGAAAATAGTCGAACAAATCTGTAAAGATCTTCCACACGTTGGCATTACCATATCTGTACGCAAAAGCAAGAAGGGGTTTAACAACACATTTGTATACATAAACCAATCAATAAAGAGGGGGCAAACAAGAAGTTAACAATTAGCAATCCAAGTGTGGCGAGTACCAAAAAGACATGGTAGCATAAACAGCAAACAACAATTTAATGAATTTCATGTAGCTGGTAGTGGTATTAATTGTTTCCAACTAACAAGTCCCAGTTGCTTATCAAAAATAGTAGTAAGCTAATGATAGACAATTAATACCACGTTGAGTTACTTATATACAGTAACTGAAGTAGCATACTGCATAGTTTTCAAATCGAGAATCGTATCATGAATCTAAATTCTACTTTTGAGAATTGTGAATCACATTGAATTGAACCAAGAATCGTAAGATTTGGCACAAACTAAACAAAATGGTGATATGTGAAAATAAATAAATAAATAAAATCATTTTGGCACATATTATACAATAGTTCTTATACAAAGGCATGATTACACAGTCTAATTGGAAAGACATTATTGTCTTTCATAGCAAGAGATGGTAATCCAAATCCCACCAACCACAAATTTATTTATTATTTAAAAAATTCTCTATTGACATTCAAAAAATGCAAAAAAAGATGGACTTAGAAATCCTAGATCAAATATAATAAGAAGAAAAACAGGTGAGTATTATAAATGTTAAAACGTAAAACATTTCAAAAGGTGTGATTATTATTTTTACAAAAATAAATAACTAAAAAAGTAGTGAAATTGACCTAACGTAAGAAACATGCGACACAACAAGGACACACTGACATGTCAAAAATACACGACACAAAACATAGGGGACACGAACAAAATATATGATTTTATATACTTATTATACGTCATACATAAGAATATTTCATTCGAAAATAGGATTAATACATTTTCAGTCCTTAGATTTTATATACTCATTATATGTCATATATATGAATATTTCATTCAAAATAGGGTTAATACATTTTCAGTCCTTGAAGTATGAGGTATATCATGTCAATTTGGTCCCCAATGTATAAAGTGTGTCCCCCAACGGATTAATACATTTTCAGTCCTTACATTTTATTTACTTAATATATGTAATATATATGAATATTTCATTCAAAAATAAGTTTTATACATTTTCAGTCCTTGAAGTAGAGGTATATGTCATTTTGGTCCCCAACGTATAAAGTGTGTCCCCCACCATTTTGTCAATCACCGCCATTAAAGTCAAAGGTAAATGTGTGATTCTATAGATCAAATAACATAGATCATATATTTTAGGGACTAAAAAGAGTAATTTTTAAGTGAGTTTTCACACATATCCCCAACTTCAATGGCGTCTATTGCCAGAATTTCGATGGGAGACAAATTGAAATACTTTTTATACATTGGGGACCAAAATGACACAAATCTTTTACTTTGGGAACCAAAAATGTAATTAACCCTCAAAAATAATTAAACAAACAAACAACATAACACTAATTCAGCGATTAACAGATGGAAATCTATATTGTTTTTCTTTTATCATTGCAACCTCTGAGTTATTTTATTCAAACATTAATGTGTTTTATATGTGCCTAAAACGATAAACACGTGTATCATCTAAGTATCCAAAGCGTGTTTTGGTTCTTTAAAAAATTAAAAAGTAAATGACAAATTTGGACATGTCCAACACATGTCAGGAGGCAATGAGTGTCAATGTCGGACTCATGTTAGATATGGACACACACCTTCATAGAACTGCTTCTCAGACCTGACTCACGTCACATTAAACCATGTTTAAACCAAAATAACAACAAATATATTCTAGATGCAAGTTACTTTAGCCTTGAATATCCATCGAAGATGTATTTTGATATTTTTCTATGGAAAAAAAATAAGAAAAAAAGGTTAAGAGCATATTCAAAGGCGGAACTAGAAATCATACCCGGGGGGGGGGCAATGTGTTTGTGCAATTTGTTTGTGTTAAAAATAATAATAAAAATAAATAAATAAATAAAAAGTTTGGGTACATTATAAATAGTAATAAAACATAATTTTTTACGTAAGGGTTCCGAAAAAAGTAATTTATGAGGGGAAAAATAAAAAAAATCTAACAAAAAAAATTTAATTATTTTCTAAAGTTCTGAACTACTAATGAAACTATTTTGTTGGTTGACAATATCTAGCAAATAAAGAATACACATACCTCTCTAATTTAAAATAAAAAATAAAAAACCAAACAAACAAAACAAAACAAAGGGAAGCAGCATGCAAATCTTCTATAAATTAAATGAATTAGATTATATTGATGTTATTAAGTACTATGTGAAGTAATTAGAGATCATCCCATTATACATTGTAAAAAATTAATGAAATAGAGTTGGTAAAAGTGATTTTCAAAAAATTAAGAGGCAATCCTATTACACATTTTACAAATATCATGAAATATAGACGTATTTGATAGAGTCGAGTGTAGAAGAAGTATTCATGTAGCCGACCCCATTTGATGAAACTTAAGACTTGATTTGGTTTGGTTTGGTGTATGAAATATAGACGTATGCATGGCACCCCCCAGTCTCTCAATAGGTCTGCCACTGAGAATATCGTGTCTGACTAGATCACATTGGATCATATTAAACACTTTGATAACCACAATAACAATAAATTATACATAGGTACTGGTTATTTTCGTACTACTCTCTCCTAGAAGTTATATTATTATATTTTTCACTAAAAACAAGGTATAAATGATCGAAATCTGTCAGACCCGATAATTTCACGAATCGCATGAATGGTAAATGAGAATCAGGTCATGAAACATGTGATTCACCATCATCGATTCTATCGCAAAACAGATTTACCAATATATATTCACATCAATCTATGCATGAATCATGAATCCTAAGATACTGATAAAAGAGGCATATTGCATTAGTGAGTACATTCATCCAAGCCACCAAACCTAACATATGTTCACATGACAAGATAACTTTCTACATTATTAAATCATTGTGCTTCTACAAAGAACATGGAAGGGGAGGAAATGGGGTGATACTGTAACAAGGACTGCAAACAAAGACCTTTATAGAAAGGTTCAAGTAGATATGTTTCTGTACCGATTCTCAAGGACTTTTTTCGCCTTATATATGGAAAACGTAAGTATTGGATAGCTTGATATAAAATGTTGGACTCATTTCCTAACAACTTAACCTTTAGGACTAATGGTGATCTAACAAGTAACAAAGAATTTGCAACAAGTTGTACAAAAATTAATTAGCAACTGTTGCACCAAGAATAAGATTATCCAGCAAGAAGAGACCCTTGTAAAACATAAAGCTCAATTATTGTGTATATAAATACCAGTGTTATCAGAGGCGAGCCTAAGTGCTCGCCTAAGCGCTAAGCGAGGCGAGGCTTTAGCGCTTCACGCACACTGAGGCGAGGCAAAATGGTGAGGCGATGGAGAAGCGCCTGAAGCGAGGCTTAAGCGATGAAGCGTGAGGCGAAACGAAGCGACGCTTCACCAGTTTTTTTCCTGATTTCAGTTTGAATCATCTGGGCCCTTCATCGACTTCGTTCGAATCATCTGGGCCCTTCATCGACAAAGTTGATTAGTTTTATAGTTGCTTTCTACTAAATAAGAAGTCCAAACCCTAGATCAAAGTCGTTACAGGTGAGTTCACCTCCTGGGTTGACATTGAAAGGCATACCCAAGTCGACTTCACCTCCTGGGTCTTCTTCTTCCTTCTTCGGACGTCGTTACAGGCGAGTTCCTTCTTCTTCCTTCTTCTTCTTCTTCCCTTCGACTTCACCTGGGTTCACTGTCAGACCCCCCCTTTCTTCCCCCTGTTCTTCCTTTGTTCATTTTTTTCTTCTTCCCTTCGACTTCACCTGGGTTCACTGTCGAACCCTGTGTTAAAATTAATTCAATTATTTTTTAAAATTAATTCAATTATTTTTTAAAATTAATTTTTAATTCGCAAAAATTAATTTTTACAATTAATTCAATTTTTTTAAAATTAATTTTTTTCTATTAATTCAATTATTTTTTTTCTGTGTTAAAATTTCAATTAATTCAATTAATTTCCTAGTTATTTTAATTTCCTGGTTATTCAATTAATTATTTTAATTCAATTAATTTGTTTAATACAATTAATTTGTTTATTTTAATTCAATTAATTTCCTAATTATTCAATTAATTATTTTAATTCAATTAATTCAACTAATTTCAACTATTTTAATTTCTTTATGTTCTTTAATGTTGTTAAAATATGTTCTTTAATTTCTTTATGCTGAAACATTGAATTGCTTGTTGGATAAAATTAATGTCGAACTCAAGTGAAAGTAAAAAAGATCCGGCATGGCAATATGCACGGATGGTAAATCTCCAAAACCTTTCAAAGTTCATTTGTAACTTTTGCGACAAAGAAATGAATGGCGGTGTTTACCGAGTCAAGCAACATCTTGCTGGTGGTTATAAAAATGTTGTTGTTTGTAAAAAATATCCATCTCATGTCAAAGATGAGATTAAAGACTATATGTCTCAAAAAAGTCAATCAAAGGTGCAATTGAGGATGGTTCCTGATTTTGCTGAGATGGATAATGATGACGATGATGATGATGAAATTCTTGAGATAAATCAACATGGTAAAAGGCCTGTTTCTACTCAAGGTTCTACCCGTCGAGAACAAGGAAGTAACTCCTCCAAATCTGTTGGTTCCAAACAACCAAAGCAAAAGGGACCCATGGATGTGTACGTCACCCCTGATCCGGAAGTTGCGGTGCAAAATCGTAAAGCCAAGGGAAAGCAAACAAAAATTGATGATAATGATCCTAGCAAGGTGGTGTTGAGAGATCGGGCTCTTGTTTGGTTTTCGAGGTGGATGTAAGATACGGGTATACCTTTCAATGTCGTGAACTACAATAGTTTTGGGCCAATGGTTGAAGCTTTTGGGCAATATGGTCCTGGCATGAAACCACCAAGCTACCATGAGGTGCGGGTTCCTTAATTGCAGAAAGAGGT